TTAATCAAAAGCATACCTAAAACAATTATTTTCATAAACTTTTCTCAGCATTGACGATAGGCGCAATCAAGTTCTAGGCAAGAGGAAAGCAGTGGAAGATCGTGCTTTCGAGCGCAAACGTTCCCTTCAAGCTTCCAAAGATTTCCACAAATTCGCTGCGGAAGCTGACGATCTTGCCGTGTGGTTAAGCGATAAAACCAAAATAGCCGGCGATGAGAGTTACCGAGATCTTACCAATTTGCCGCGCAAGCTGCAGAAACACAAAGCTTTCGAGCGCGAGTTACGCGCAAATGAGGGTCAATTGCGTAACGTCAACAAGGAGGGGCAGGCATTGATAGCGACGAATAATCGTGTGCCTGCGGTGGAGAGGCGAATGGTCGACTTGAACCAAAAGTGGAGAGATCTATTGGCGCTCTCGGAAGACAAGGGACGCAAACTGGAACAGGCCTTGTCGCAGCGTGAACATAACCGCGCCATTGATGATGCCAAGCAAAAGGTGGCCGAGTTAGATGCTGCACTAAAAAGCAAGGACGTGGGCAACGATCTGCGCAGTTGCAAAGATTTGATAAACAAACATCAGTTACTCGAGTCTGAGATAACGGTGTGGGAACAAAAGATCGTCGAACTAGTTAGTACTGGTGACGAGATGGCACATGAAGGTCATTTCAATGCAGTGCACATCAAAGATGAAACAAAGGATATACAAAATCGCTTTAAGTTATTACGCGAACCAGTACAAAAACGTCGCGAGGAACTCGAAGAGAGCTTGAATTACCACAAGTTCGTGTTTGAGCTAGATGCCGAATTCCAATGGATCAACGATCACATGCCAGCAGCTAAGTCTAAGGAGCTAGGTCAAAACCTCCACCAAGCGCAAACTCTCTCGAAGAAACATAAAAAACTCGAGGCCGAAGTTAAGGGGCATCAACCCATGATCAACAAAGCTTTGCAAGCCGGTCAAACGCTGATTGCACAAAATCATCCCGAAAAAGAGAATGTAAAAGCCTTGAGTGCTAAGTTGGAAGATGCCTGGGCTGACTTGGAGAGCAATTCAAATGATCGCAGTAAGAAGCNACTCGAGGCCGAAGTTAAGGGGCATCAACCCATGATCAACAAAGCTTTGCAAGCCGGTCAAACGCTGATTGCACAAAATCATCCCGAAAAAGAGAATGTAAAAGCCTTGAGTGCTAAGTTGGAAGATGCCTGGGCTGACTTGGAGAGCAATTCAAATGATCGCAGTAAGAAGCTGGAGATGTCACTTAAGGCGCAGCAGTACTTGTCCGACGCCGGGGAGATTGAATCTTGGTTGGGTGAGAGAAGCAACGTCCTGCGCTCCACTGAGTATGGGCGAGATCGCGACTCTGCCGCCAAATTGCTGACCAAACACAAGACAATCGAACTGGAGCTGGACACGTACTCTGGTATTGTCACCGAAATGGGGCACAATTGTGCCGCCATGGTGGCCGCTGGACATCCGGACAGTAAAATTCTTGCTGCGAAACAACAACTTATCGAAAAAATGTTTAAATCACTACATAAATTGGCGCAACAACGACAAATGCGTTTGATGGAGAGCCTATACATGCACGAATACTTCCTGGAATCGGATGAGGTGGAACAATGGATTAAGGAACAAGAACAGGCAGCTTCATCTGAGGACTATGGACAAGACTATGAACATCTCCAATTGCTGCAAAATAAGTTCGATGATCTAAAACATCGCGTGGAAGTGGGTTCGGATCGAGTGAATCAGTGTGAAGTACTGGCCAAGAAACTTATCGAGACGGAGAGTCCATACGCCACAGATGTGGAGAGGCGTCAAGAACAGTTGAGGTGAGTAGATCATCATTATGCTACACGCGTATTTCCATTTCCCCCCCCAATTAATAAGAGATTTGTATGTACATTCATACTTATATATCTAATTCTAGGGAATCTTGGGAAAATCTGCTAAAATTACTCAACCAACGCGAGCAAAAGTTACACGCTGCCGGAGAAATACATCGTTTCCATCGCGACGTTGCTGAGGCGCTCTTCCGCATCCAAGACAAGAATGCAGCACTCTCCTCTGAGCTCGGAAGAGATTTGAACTCAGCACTAGCACTGTTGCGAAAACACGAAGGTTTCGAAA